GTTGGGAGAGAAGTTGCAACTGAAATGGCAGCCAGAGAAGATCACTAAAAGACTACACAGAAACACATGCTAATGGGGGTTTTACCCACAGTGACCATGAAACAAGTATAAGTGGTGGGGTGTTGCTATGAGTTACCACATAACCATTAGCATATCAAAAAAGGAATGACAAATGTCAAATGAGGGGTTGCTATGGCACAGCAGGACCCCCTACTAGCTTTGTACACTACCAACTTCTTCCCCTTTTAATGACAAAATGACTGTGGACCCTGTCATCTCATCGATGTACCGTGCTGTAGGAGCGAATGAGCTGAATTGGCCTGATGAAACGGGGGGGTGGGTATATGGGGGTTCACTCACCAGAGTGCTGGGCAGTTTCTCCGGCCGCCTCAGGAAGCAATGCAGAAGAAGAGCCAGCAGGCTCAGTGCTATCACAAGCAGGGGTGCCAAGGCTATCATTATGGGTATGTACCAGACTGCCCATGGAAGACAAAACAACAGTGAATGTATGCATCAAGTACAGACATCTACCTCAAATCATGTCGAGGCTCTGCTGAGAAAGATCTCCTTTGAATCATAACATGCTTACTGAAGTTGAGCTATGCAGAGTCTAAATCTTTAGCTATGCACTGTGTCTTAAGCTTAGCTTTGCACAGTCTTTAGGCACTGAGATATAAACTGTGCTATGGTTTATAAGGCATGCTGTAGAGAGGAGCATGGCAAGGGGTGTTTACCTGGAGGTGGGAGGATGATGCATTTCTCCGAAGACATACGACTGGCAGCCGTTCCACTAATGTCCTCCACCTCCACTCGGACGCAATACTCATAGCCCCACATCAGGAATCCAAACTCCACATCCTTCTCCTCCTCTTCTCCTCCAGCTCTTTTCCAATCGAAACTCTGATTAATCTGCAAGCCCAGAGACAAGCTGTCAGAACCCGCCGAGCTCGATACGATTCGCCCCGACTCCCCATGTTACACGTCTCGGCCAATCACAATCAAATCCATGAGAGATAACAGAAGATATCTGAGAGGCTCTGTATCAAGTGCTGGTGCATAGTATCACGTTGTGTCTGTCTATCGAAGTGATACAAACGACCAGACAGTAAACACATCTCGTATGAGACCACATTGCTGTTGTAAAGCTTTCACCATAAGTAATTCAATAAAACCTCTGGTACCCTCCATTTTTTTACATTAACATTTGCAGAATTAAAGTAGAAAAGGAAAGAACTTGTTAAGGTAAACGATTATTATAAATGACTGAGAAGTGGACCCTGTTACAGCTCAAGAGTACTATAAAGGGAAACTGAGAACCTACGAAATAATATGGTGATGATTACCGTGAGGTTCTGTCCTTTCTCCAGCAGGTGATAATTGTACTTCAGCCCAGTGGGGAACACAGCTTCCAACCCTGGCTTTCGGTGAACTATGACCACGACTGAGGCAGAGTCAGCGGACAGGGTGAAGTTGGGGGGGCTCAGCTTGCCTATGGAGCAGGAGGCAGGGAGACAGTGTGATTATTTCTTTATTCAAACCTTCATTTAATTGGGCTGGTCAACTGAGAGCCCCGTTCTCTTCTGTTCGGAAGTTCTTCCCATCTTTTGGAAGGAAAAATCGAGGACCTCAAGAGATTATATAGCCGACCAGATATAGGGGTTGTGTCGGTGGTCAGATGTAGACAGCCAGTTGGAATGGGGATTAGAACAGGACACTGGAGTTAACAGCCCTACTCTTTGAAAAAGTGCCCTGGGATTTTAAAAGAACACCGTGAGCCAGAACCTTGGCTTAATGCTTCATCTGAACGACAGCACATCCGACAATTCAGTGTCCCTATCACTGACTCTGGGCATTGGAGTTCTTTTGTTCCAGAGGGAAGACTGAGAAACTTATTTTAACGAAGAGGTCTAACACCCAAATATTGCCCAAGAGCAGAGCAGCTTAGTTTCAGGGGTTTGCTGTTTGAAGGATTCAGGGTGGTATGGCTGTCCGTGAGGGAACAAGAGAGAGCGAAACAGAGGCAGGACAGGGCAGAGAGTGCATGGCAGAGCATGGAGGAGAGAGATAAAGACTGAATGAAAACAGGTGAAAAAGAAATGGCAGGATATATGAGACAAAAAGAGAAAAACAACATGAAAGTCTCTGTAGTACTATCATAGGCTGAGAAGGAAGCATTTTTTTTCTTTTCAACAGTTAATGGAAGAAAAGGAGAAATAAAGACTTTGAAAACTCACTTTCTCGCTTTGAAAACTTTTTTAGTTTGACCCAGCTGGATTTGCTCAGCCCATTGACCATCTGAACTCGGGCCATGAACATATCTTTGACACTGTTGATGCTGTTAGTCAGGTCACACTGCAGTGATTGTGTCCAATTACAGCCCGGCACATCTTTCCAGGTTATGTTTCCTCCATACCTGTGCAATAAAATAACACACATTTACTCTGCTGTGATCAACATTGCTTTTAAGAAGTGGATGTGTGTGTGTGTGTGTGTGTGTGTGTGTGTGTGTGTGTGTGTGTGTGTGTGTGTGTGTGTGTGTGTGTGTGTGTGTGTGTGATATCCAGATGTTTTTAAGATATCAGGATGTTTGTCCTTCATTTCTAAACGCACTTTGCAGTACGTAACTGTCATTCTTTCCACATGACCAAAACATGAACCGTAAGGTTTAAATTTGTCCCTCCTGGTATCTCGCTACTGATAGCGATGTGTAATTGACATTCGACATTTCCCACAAAGCCAGTTCTGCCTTTGGCACGGTGGACCACTGGGGGGGACTGATACAGACACTCACTTTGAAATCTGCACCCTGTAATGGACCTGAGGCGGGGCCCCGGTAGGGGGAACCCAGACCATCGTCACTTCTCCATCCAGCATGACCACTTTCACATCTCTCGGCTCTCTCAGTTTCTGTCCTGCGGGACACGAGAAACAGTGGCATCTCAGATGACATATAATGACATTATCATACATATAATTAGACACGTTAGGACTTACACTAACACAAAAGAGAAGAGTTTTTTTTCAGTTCTATCATGTGTTAGATTCCAGTACAACACATAGACCGTACACAGTTCAAAATGTTCATACTGTATGTTTAAACAAAGCCTACAATATGATTTTTTGAAATTATGAGGTACTCCATGACATGCAATACATGAGATACTTATCATAATATACAGGGACGATATCAGGGCAGAGTTACAGTATTTAGAGGGCTGTGTTTCCCCTGTGGGAAGTTTGCTTCAGAGGGATTTCCAACATTGGACACCGGGTAGTCACTCTAGTTTCATTCACGCCAGTGACTCAGCGTTTGAACTTCCCTGGAGTTCATGGAACTCATTAACTTCATGACAAATATTCATGAAGTGGAAATCGTTGATTTGAGAGAGGAACACTATGTGCTGTATCACATTTTAAGAGGGTATAAAGTTGAAATGTGACAAAATGAGTTGATTATGACAGAGGTACAAGGAGATTTTTTTTCCCTAGAAATTAATTTCCTTGCTAAGACTCAGTGACTGTATTCTGTATAACTGCATTCGAGAAAAGTAATTTTTCTTTAGATACATTTTTTTTTCTTTGTGTTTCGGGTTGGAGTGATGAGGCAGAATGTGGGATGGAAAACGAATATCTGTCTGTTATTTATATGAAAATTCCTTTTCCTTTGAGTCAAATCACGTGTGTGTGCGCAGGGGAATTTACACCTGCTTCTGCGAACTATGATGCCCACATCAAAAACCCATAGGTATTCCAAAGCAAAACACACACCGGCCCGCCCACTCAAAGCCTCACAGTATTACAGAACAATATGCAGGGGTATGGTGTTTCTTACACGTTTGCGTTCTTCCACATGTTAATAGTTCATAGGTTAATAATTCTCAATAGTTTAATAGGTACTTCTTCAACGATATGAACCCATAGCTCATAACATTGATGCTTGCGCTTCTTTTTTGTCCCCATTCTTATACCAGAAAAAGAGTAAAATCACTTATCCTGGTGTTGTTCCGTTTTGAGTATATCAAGAATATAATCATCACATAAGGGAACATGAAATATAATATAAAGTAAAATACACTATGCAGAGTAAAAGAGGAGGCCGTTACCTGCTGCCTGTCCGCGTAGTGAGAGTATCATGGAAAGAGCAGTGATGAAAATCCACAGAGTGTAATCCATCTCTCGTTCACTCTGCCAGCATCTTCCTTGCGCGGCGTTCAGTTGTACAGCCTGATTGCCGGTTCCCTATTGGCTCAGGTTGTAAAGGACACAAGCGTTTCGTTTCAAGGTTCAGGTGGCAGAGGTCCAGAGTGCCGAGAGCCCGTGACGCTGCCGCTCTTGTGAGGTTCCTCGTTTGAGCGATCTGCTGTTTACTCCCTCCCTTTTCTCTTTGCTCTTTCTCCGTGACCAACGTACTTCCTGTATGTCATGCGTTTCGCTCACCCACTCTCCTTCTATCTCTCTCTCATCTATGTTTCTACTCATAATTCGTTTCTAGTTACATTTGTGCCTGTCTTTGAATACTGATTTTCAGTGGTGTTATGTTTGTATTAGTGCGAGTGTGTGTGAGGTTGAGTGTGTGTCAAAAAAAGTGCACAAACACACACACACACACACACACATACACACAGATACAAAACTTCTATAATACTTCTCATAATAGGAAATAATCCCCAATTCTGACATTAATAATGGAAGATCTATGCTTACAAAACAGCATAAAATCATTATTTTGCCTGTCAGTATTTCTCAAATGTTGAAATTCGTTTGAAGATCAGAGACAGCAATACACACACCACACTCACACACACACACACACACACACACACACACACACACACACACACACACACACACACACACACATATATATATATATATATATATATATATAAAAATGTAAATTTTACTCTGAAGCAATGGCATATGAGTGGCTATCCACAGGCACATACAAAATTACAATACAGCACAGTACATATATAACATTCAAAGCAAAACTAAACAGGGGCAGCCTATAGTCTAGTGGCTATGGTACATGACCAGGACCCATGAGGTTGGTGGTTCAAGAACACCATTGCTGTCAGGCCCTTGAGCAAGGCCCTGAACCCCACATTGCTCCCATGTAATGTAAAGCTCACTCAGAAATGCCTTCTCAAAATTAAAACTTGTTTAAGGTATCAAGAGTTTGCATACATACTTTGTATGTGAATTTGAATTTGCATACATAATGTAGTTTCATAAAACAAGAACCAGGACTCTTTTTGTGCATCAGTGCAGCAGATTTCAGTTCAGTTTGAAACCTGATTGTGCCATTACTTTACTTATACTTGTGATATCAAGTATCTGAAGTTACACCCAGTGTTGTTAGATTGTATGTGTGCTTGTTAACAGCTACAAGCCTTTATGCACAGATGTGTGTGTGTATGTGTGTGTGTGTGTACAGTGCATGTTGTATGCATATACTGTATGTGAGAGAGAGATAGAGAGAGAGACCTTGTGTGTTTTACTGAATAAAACTGTGTGTGAGTATGTGATGTTTCATTAATGCAACACTGTCTTCTGTGTCTGGCGGTGTACTTTTCTTCAGTGATTAGCCATTAGTTCCGGAATGGTGGAAGAATGCAAGGTCGGCTGTCACCACTCACAAAGAATACAGGGTGTATATTTTTGGGAAAACGTCATCCTCCTTTCCCACTACCCCCCCACTGTACGGCAGAACCTGAAAATGGAAAATCAAGAAACAGAAACCTCTCAGACATTGCTGACATCCCTTAGTGAAGTTTTTATTCCGTTAGGGGCGTTCTTCAACAGAGAGCTTGTGTCTTACCTTGCGGTTTGGATGAGAATGCGTCTGGCTTGTTGCCTTTTTGCGGGTGACAGACAGACTCGCATCCTGTTTTCTGTCGTGGAGCTGTGGGAACGTGGGCTTTCTGTAGTGGGGATACAGTCAGAGCGCTTCACTGATTCATATTTCATATCCTGCCTGAGACTGAAGTCTGGGAGGAGAGGTGCACTTTGACTCACCAACCGCAGATATATGGATCCTCTTCGATGAAGAGGGAGTGCTTTCAAGAAACAGTGAAGTTTCACATCACAAGACTAACTAAACTAAACCTTGGCTGATTGGCCCATGAAATAGCTCTGAAATGGTACATCTGTCATAGGCTGTCAGAGGGGCAGGGGCAAAAAACTAGAGGGCACTTCAAGTTTTTTTTTCCACTGGAGGGGCAATCTAGAGGGCACTTCATCATGTTTTCTCCCCTGGAAGGGAACCAAAGAGGGCACTTCATCATGTGTTCTCCACTGGAAGGGAACCAAAGAGGGCACTTCATTATGTTTTCTCCACTGGAAGGGAACCAAAGAGGGCACTTCATCATGTTTTCTCCACTGGAAGGGAACCAAAGAGGGCACTTCATCATGTGTTCTCCACTGGAAGGGAACCAAAGAGGGCACTTCATCATGTTTTCTCCACTGGAAGGGAACCAAAGAGGGCACTTCATCATGTTTTCTCCACTGGAAGGGCACCCAGGAGAACACTTCATCATGTTTTCTCCACTGGAAGGGGCACCAAAGATTGCCTGGCACTTCATCATGTTTTCTCCACTGGAAGGGAACCAAAGAGGGCACTGTCTCAGTAATGGCTGAATTTCATGGAATTAGCACCCAGGAACGTCTGTTTTAGTAATGGCTGAATTTCATACATTAGCACCCATACAACGCCTGTTTCAGTAATGGCTGAATTGCATACATTAGCACCTATACAACGTCTGTTTCAGTAATGGCTGAATTTCATACATTAGCACCCATACAACGTCTGTTTTAGTAATGGCTGAATTGCATATATTAGCTCCTATACAATGTCTGTTTCAGTAATGGCTGAATTTCATACATTAGCACCCATACAACATCTGTTTTAGTAATGGCTGAATTGCATACATTAGCACGCATAAAACTTCTGTTTCAGTAGCGGATGAACTTTAGCAGTGATTGCTTGCACTGCTATTTCTGCAGCTGGCTTTTTCATTCGCGCAGCTGTGGTTTAATATCGGGTATTGAATATGTTGGATTGACTCACAGAGATCACTGTGCGTGTGGGTGGTTAGAGGCCTTACAGACTGTTAATAACACAGCTCTACGGAGAGGGTAGGCCAGCATCAGCACAGAGCCATATTGCAGTGTTTTCAGACTAATACACAATAACTTTCCTTATATTATATATTTCAGTAGAATGAAGTTTCAGACAGCATTGAATGCACTTACAAAGAGTTTATTGTCAAGTTGTTTAAAGGTACAGACATTTGATCTTGGGCTTGGTGTCCAAGGGGACAGCGTCATAACTCACAATTTCATATTTGAAATGGTCATATTTAATAACTCACATCAGTGCATTTCTTTGCACATGCATTTTGTATGGATTATGGGTGCCTCAGCCTTCAAGTTATTTGTTACTGTTGCAACGTATTAGTCGGTATTGTCCTCTTGTGTCTATTGTCCTCCATTTTCTGAGAGCTGTGGCTGCTGGCATGTATGGATGAAAGGATGCTTATTCTCCACCATGGATAGATTAATTTATCAGGTTAACATCTATAATGCATTTGTACTGGGAAGCAAGTCTGTGTCCACAGGCATCTAGCGTCAGTCACAGCTCCAAACTAGCTTTTTCATTTAGCAAGGGATAACAACCTTAGATTCATTGGTTGTATGTCAAAAACTAGCAAATGATTTAGCTGTTCTGTCAGCGTCATTTAATCTTGGAAGTAATTCTGAGTACTGCGTCATACTGGTACACAAAATAAGCCACAGATAAGAGCTGCAGCGCTACCGAGATTGTGGTACTGATCGCTGGCTTGGACCTTATTCAGATTTTCAGTTTGAGCAACGCTGCGAGCGGAATGACTTTCAGAACGTGGCTGAGCTTCTTGACTCCCGATTGTACGTCCAGATCCATAGGTTTCTCGAGAGATCGTGGTTGATTGCGGACAGATGACAAAAGCATAGGCCAAAATCTACTAGAAATATAATCATGCTTAAAGTCCTTGAAAATAAGCAGGGGAGATTGACGGAGATTATGTTTATTAAAGTCAAAATAACTATGAGAGCAAAAACCGCCTGAGAATAGTAGGCTTAGACAGATGATGTTTTCTTCATGAAATTACAGGACTCCCCCATGAATTTTGGGTGGTTCACAGTTCTGAATTTCAGAGTTTTCCCATAAAGCCCTGGGGCTGGCCCCCACTCAGTCTCAGAGCCCATCCAGTCCGTCCTGACCAAGCTAGTGTAACCCCTTCAGTTATCACTGTTATCAAACTAAATAAGGCCCTCTGGGTGGATTTGTGTCTACGTAATAATGCTCTCTGTCAATCCCCGCCCCAAAAAAATCGTCTTTTTCAAAAGTGAAAGTGGTTTTCAACCAATGGGATGGACTCGGGGGGGCGGGGTGGACTCTGAAGTCACAGAATTGCATTCTCACTTTTGTTTCCTCATTTTCATCAAGTGGCAAACTGGATCACAACAGATGCGGTTGAGGGCGTGGGAAATGTAACAGTTTCAAATAAGGACACTTCAGTTAAAATGGACTAAAGTGTCACTTTAAACCAGTGGTTCCCAACCTATTCTATGCCCCACGCCCTAGGAAATGTTTGATTAATGTTCGTTGGGTGAAATACTTTCAACAACTGAAATTTATGAGTGAAACAACATACAATGATTATGTCAGATGTTGTGTTGTAATGATTTTAAAAAGTGATACTCTGTCAACCAGTTATTTATTTTACTTATATGTTAATTCTGTTATTAACTCCTTTTGATTAAATAAACAACGAGACTACTATCTACGCAACACAACCATCTACTACCGCTTCTCAAGGCACACTGGCAGCTGGCTGACTGATGACTTGTGACTCATCACTCAAGAACACAAGCCACTTTGTCACACCCCCGAAATTCCACCTCACGCTCCCTGGGGGGTGCGGGCAATCCAGGTTGGGAACCCCTGCTTTAAACGGTGCTTGGTGGAGCGTTGAGCAGCTGTTAAACCTGTGCTCTGTGACCGTCTCACCACTCCCTGATTGGCCAGATCACGTTATTTACATCTGATGCACAAGTTTTGGTCATGGGCCCTTGAGGATGACGGGGAGTAAACATTCTTTCCTCTCCTGTTCTCTCTCTATAGGCTCTCGTAGATAGCAAAGCACTCTCTTTATCTCTTGCCCTTATAATTTGACTGGCTTTCCATTCTTTTTTCTTAACTTGCTAATGCTTCCTTAGCATATTGGTTAGCGAACTGTATTCACTGGCAGCTGAGAACTTTTAAATCCATTGGACTAGTTTCTTGTCCTGTCGTTTACTTCACTTTTTACCACTTTCATTTCACTGATTTTGTAATGTCTTCTTTAACTTTGATAGGCAGCAGCAAAACTGTAATATATAATGAAAAATGTCATTCTTGGTTTAACCTTTTGTTAACGTTCTCTTTGACCTTTTATGAAGAAAGACCACCTCCAATGGTGCTTGTGCTACTGGTGCGATGAGACGGGTTTTCAGGCCTTTGGGGTTTCCTGTTTCATTAAAACATGAGTTTGGTGAACTTTGAGAGGACTGACAGAAAAGCCGACGGTGGTTTCTGTCAAAACAAACACCAACTGTGCGTATGTGGCGTCCTGTTTGCACAAAGGGGAAGCAAATGTCTAATTTTGGTTCTTAAAGGCGCTGCTTGTCTCAGTAACATTTTCAAATGCATTCGTTATTTCCCTGAATTGAGCATTCTGTTGTTGCCTTCTGGTGTATGCATATGTGAAACAGCATATTCACCCAGCTAAGCCATATGCTAATAACAAAATTGACTCCGCTTCCATGCACAGAAATTGTGCTGTCCTGCAGCACAAAAAAGGGATATATCTGGGATAAATACAGTCTTATTCATAATAACCTAAAAGTTCAAACTGATCCAAGATCAGGACAATGATACTCATCATGCAATGGTACTCAGAAACTGTAATGCAGAATTATGATGTCTGAGTTTAATGATGTTGTAATGATGTCCTAGACTGAGCTAGTGTTTGTCTGTGTGTGTGTGTGTGTGTG